CAAGGTGGGCGACAGACGGACAGGTTGGGGTAAAGATTTCCAGAGGATGGGAGAGACTCTAGAGAAGTCCTGGAGGCGAGCATGGGAGGAGTTGACAATGGAGCTGGAAAGCAGGTGGTCTTGGGAAGAGCGGAGCCGACGGTTAAGGTGATACTTTGAGACAAGGTTTGGGATATAGCCGGGGGCAGAGTTGTGTATGGCTTTGTAACTGATTGTTAATATTTTGAATTTTATCCTTTGGGCTATTGGAAGCCAGTGCAGGGATTGGCAGAGGGGGGCGGGGGATGGAAGCCAGTGCAGGGATTGGCAGAGGGGGAAGAGTCTTGTAGTCCAAGTGACTGGATTTTTTTGAGGAGGAGCAGGTGGTCAACGGTGTCAAATATATATATATACCTCTTGTACAGTAGGACTGAGACTGGGAGTGTCAAGAACAGTACTGTAAAGGTGCCCATACACTTTTGTCTTGCGAGGGTTGTAAAGTAATGAAAAAAAAGTACGATCTGCCCATCTTGGACAGGCAGATCGTACTTGCGATCATCGCAAGCCCGCCCCCCTGAGGGGCGGTCTTCTGATGACTGCAACGAGGGGCGGGCTCCTGATGACTGCAAACGGGCAGTGTGCGCGTGCGCACACCAGCCCGTTCGGCAGTTGTCGAACAAGCAGGCCACTAACTCGCCGAGAATCGTACGATTCCCGGCGGGTTTTCCAGCCTGCTTGTTTGACGGAAGACGTGCGACTGTACAGTAGAAACGGTCGCACGCCTTCCATACACTTTACGATTATCGTACGATCGCGGGATTTCCCGCGATTCTCGTACGATAATCGTGCAGTGTATGGGCACCTTTAGTCAGGCTTTACTGCAGTTACTGATAACTTGCTGACTGGAATAGAGAGCACCGGATTGCCTTCCTTAGGCCTTGTTCACACCAAATGCAGACCAGATCCGGTCAGGTTTCTGCACACGTACGATGCGTTTTTAAAGCGTTTTTGATGCGGTTTTTTTTGCATGAAAAGCAGCTGCAGGTGTCAGTGAGCAAACAGGCAGTGTGATAAGGAGGAGTGGTGGGGGGAAGGGGGGTGGATGGAATACTGCATTTGAGGAACTACTAGTATACAATGCCATTCACATTGAAGTACTCACCACAGCTCTCCTTATCTGTCAAGGACATATCCTTATATCCTGGGAAAACTCTCCCTGCTATCAAACTCCACTGGTCAGCCTTCTTTCTATTGTTCTTATATTGAAAGTGTCTGCTGTCATATAGCTCAGGGCACTGTTGAACCATACTTATGAATCTCTCTGGGTCACAAAACTGGTCCACCATTTTTCCTTTGCTCTCCAGCTCACAAGGTCACCTTTTCCAAAGACAGGAAGTGACAAAGGAAGATTAGGTCATGACAGATGACCATAGAGTGTTTTTTTTTTTCTTTATGGTTATTTTTTCCCATTGAATTGCATTGGGTTGCATTGCGTTTTTGATGCGTTCCAGAGCAGGTAAAATAGGGCTTGCCGCAGTTTTTTCACCTGCTCTGGATCTGGTCTTGATCCGCACGCTGCGATGTGAACTAAAGGTCAAAATACCATAGGAATACATTGGACGCAGTTTTGATCCGGTCTGCACCTGCTCTGGTCTGGATCTGCTCCGCGCTTGGTGTGAACAAGGCCTTAGTTCTTTTCTGGGGGGGATACAGTACCAAACACTTTCTCTTCTGCATTCACAGATCTCCTATTACTATGATCCCCACAATGCATCGAGTTCTGTGAATGGAGGAGATTCTGTCATTCAGCTGCTCCTCCTCCATTTACAGATTTCAATGCATTGTGGGATCATAGTAATCGGAGATCTGTGAATGGCAGAGAGAGTTGAAGGTGATGGGCCAGCTGCACAACTTTTCAGAGTAGCTACTGACAGACCTCTCACAGTACCACTCAGTGTAATATCTGGTCTGCTGTGAGGAGAGGCTGCTGAAGCTATGGGGATTATCTATGTGTTTGGTTCTGTATCCTCCCTCCACCAGACATTAAACTTTAGCTTTAAGTATTCTGATCCCCCAGGAGCTCTTGTTGATGCCTTGTGCTGGATGGAATTGGCGGTTTAGGAGCTCTAAAGATTACAGGTACATTTATCCTTTTGTTTCTGGGGAGTTAGTGGGAAATCATCAGTTTTGACTTTATTTTTTTCAATTGAGTCTAGTATTCTAAACACTCCAGATAATTATTCCACCCAACCTCATAGAGTGAAATTCATAAAATATGATAATATGGATTATAATCAGGTGAGTAGACTTGTCGTTTTTATCTAATATCCTATCTAGTTGTCTTCTTTGTGAACTGCTGCAGTGAAAGAACGCTTTCCTTGGAGTTGATTGCTGTTATAATTCTTACAGTTGTACTGCTGCCGTTTAGAGGGTAGATGTCTATAATGTATAAGCAGAGTTTGAAAAATCCTCTCGTCTGTGACAGGAGCACGGCGAAGCCGGACGAGTAGCTTCCCGGCCGGCCGTTGTAATTAAACGGCCGTGCCAGGAGCTTTGCATTCAAGCGATCGGGCGTCTCTAGAGACCCCTGATCACTTGTTTTAGCAGTAGCTGTCACTGCCGTTGCGGGTCCCGAGATCCGCTGTGCCTAGTGTGGCTGGGACCGGCACGGCTGCTCTGTGACAGGAGAGCAAAGGGAAAATCAGTACACGATCTCCCTCTGATCTCCTCTCCATCCCCAAATGCAGGAAGCGATGTGTATTACATCACTTCCGCATTCCCCTGTCACTCTCCAGCTTAATTCTCTGCTTCATCAGCTTCTATGAGGGGCCCTAGGTGACATTAGGGTTCCTGTCATGTAAATTGGCTATCACATAGGGGGCTTCTTAGTCCCCTATGTGATCGCAATAAAGTTAGGTGTAAAAAACATTAAAAAAAAAGAGTAATAAGAAAAATGGAAAAAAGTCCCCGCCCCCCACATACACACGCAAACATGCGTCGGGTGCGCCTACGTGTGAAAACGACGATTGCGCCTATTGTGCCGCACATGTTACACATCACCGCGAACGTTGGAGTAAAAGCAATAATTCTTCTGGCCAATAATTACTGATAACACTAAATTGATTAGCAGTAAAAGTGTTTAAAGCGTCACCTATGGCCAATTTTCGGTGTGGTAGTTTTTTGCGGGCACGCGCAATTTTAAGGCTTGACATGTTTGGTGTCTATTTACCCGATGTGACCCCGTCTTTTATATTTTACCAAAAATATGGGTAAGAATAAACATTTTTTAACATAACGTAAGAAAACATCTTTTTTTTTCGAAATTTTTCGGTACTTTTTTCATTATATAGTAAAAAATGAAACCCCCCCCCCGTGGTGAGTAAATACCACCAAAAGAAAGCTCTATGTGTCCCCAAAAAAGTTAACATAAATTGCAAGACTATAGTCCGGTCATGCTGACTGGTGAGACACCCTAAAATTTGTCAAGCCCTGTGCATAAGTATGATATTCCTTTGACTTCTTTCCAATATTTTGAACTCATGTTGCACAGGTATCTCGGAGAGCCTAAACTTTGATGAAGACTCTTCAGAAGGGGATGATGTAGACTCTGGAAGTACACGGCCTGGTTCTTCCTCCAGTAAAAAGTCTCTGACAGTAAGTCTTTTGAGTTCTTTCTGTTAACACTTTTGTGCACACACATGCTCATTTGTTAACAAAGGTAAGAAGTCTACTGTTGACTACGGTGCCTGTGAATTATTGACTCATGTTAAGTGTAAATTTTAGACATCCCAAGGTAAATTCACAAACAGTGCCACTGTTCCGAATCCATTTTCTATGCTGTGTCTGCCCTAGATACGGCATCAAGAGCAGAAGAGCTGAAGCTGAAGTCTGCCTCTGCTAACCCCGCCCCTTTCCGCTCAGCTTGGAGCGAGAAGGAGGAGAAAAGCTGTTAACATTTAATGTTCGCTGGGGTTACCAGCCAGGCATATAGGCCGGGAAGGGAGCTTTCCCTTCTGCATGCATGCATGCATGCATGCTCTATGTGTAGTGTGTTCACTGCACTGGCAGAGAGAGGCATGTGACCTGGCACACAGGATGTGAACTCTCTGCCAGCAACCTGGAAGACAGTTCACATCCTGTGTACAAGGTTCAATCCCTCTAATTATGGGGAGGATCCCACGCCTGTTTCTATTTCACTCTGAAATCTGAAACGGGTGGTGCATATAGACCTTAAACAGGTCTACCTGTTTTATTAATTGTGCCCATAAGGTTTCCTGTGTAATTATAATGGCGCTTGAAGCTTTGTTAATTCCCCTGGCACTTGTCCATTTTGGTAATGGTGACACTGTTTAGTGTTCACCCAGCAAAGCATACCTGCCTATCCACACTCCCTCACCACTGAAAGAGTCCAACCCATTGTAAGCTCTAGTGTTAGATGGTGTCAGGGACAGAGTTTCTTCATGATAGGTCCACTTTAATTATTGTCTGTAACTTTTTCCTCCTCTATCTATGAACACCAACCATCACTTTGTCTTCCCCAGGAATCGGCTTCTGCAGAGACAATACCCACTGTACCTCCAGGGGAGGTAGGAGATGTGGGTGATCTGAAAGAATTTTCCGTGCGCCCTGCAGGTCGTGGTGTCGCTGTAAGGTGCCGCATCAGCCGTGACAAAAAAGGGATGGACCGTGGCTTGTTCCCAACCTATTATATGCACCTTGAAAGGGACGACAACCGCAAGGTGAGACTAGAGACGCATTTGCTTTTCTGTGTAGAAAGACGAGAAAGCTGCCATCTGACTTGCTGAGCCTTTCCTTTTAGATTTTCCTTCTGGCCGGAAGAAAGAGGAAAAAAAGCAAAACATCCAATTACCTGATTTCTACCGACCCCACGGACTTGTCGCGGGAAGGGGGCAATTTTATAGGCAAACTCCGGTATGTACAATGTTCAGATATGTTTTACTATAAAAGGAAAAAAAAAAATGTGCATTTATTTATTTATTTTGCATAGGAGCCAGTAAAGTATTGCGACTGCGATCCGTAGATTGTAGGTGCAATGCTTTGGCTCCTGCAGACTGCTTCTCCCATATGGTACGGACATGCAGTAACAGAGATGGGAAAAAGTGTCAATGGACTACAAGTGTGGTGATGTCACCACAATGCTACTACAAATCCCTCTGCAATCCGACCATGTTTCATCCTACACCCTAAATAAGGATGTAACATAAAACATGTTCAGAAACATGGACTTAGCCTTTAATAAACATCCTCCCTTTGACAGTTACCATAGAACACTTTGCGCAGCTGCTAGTTGGGAAACGCGGTTGTCACTAACAGTTTGGCTTTCACTTACAATTGGCAATCAATCAATTTGGTCATGTGATCACTATGTTAGCTGAAGGCTTTATTTAGAAAGGTTTGGCTTTAGCTTGCAGAGTACACTGCAGTCTATAGATGGAAGTGCACCTCTGTTTAATACTGTACCTTTTTGATACAGATGTAGCTTAAAATATTATAATGAACTAACACCTTCCTGCAGGTGTCACACCATATATGTGGCATCACCGAGGCTTTCTTTTATGGCGCCGCATAGATGTGACAAGTTTTTTTGTTCAGAACACACACAATTCCTACGCTCCTCAGCACCATCTAGTGACTGTTAAAAAATAAAGATAACATAGTTAGATCAGGGCTTGATCTAGGTTAGTGTCAGTGTTACAGTTGTCAGTGCTAGTGATATACATCTTGCCAGCCAGCCTTTAGCTATTCTGAGGTATAGTACCATTCTTGGATATGGTTCCCAGCACCAAGGGATTGTTGCTTCACCTTCCATTTGAGAACTAGGGGTTCGTATCCCTCTTTTCCTCTTTTTCTCTTTTTCTTAGCTTAACCACTAGTTACTGGTTGTACTAGTAACATAATTTTGCAGTTCTGTAATAATACCAATGAAAACGTTTTTTTGGTCTATCATGTCTCCAGTTTTCAGGTACGTTCACGCACTTGTGGCCTTTGTTGTGGTATTTATCCATTTTTATTGGTTTTCTTGTTAGATCGAACATAATGGGAACCAAGTTTACTATATATGACGGTGGTGAGAGCCCAGATAAAGCCAAGGCCCATGGACTGCTGGACAGTAGCACTTTGAGGCAGGAGCTGGCGGCAGTGTGTTATGTAAGAGCCATCTTCTTCATTCCTCACCTACAAATGATTTGTGTTCAAGCTCTGTTCAGATTTAACTGTTTTTTCCAACCGTTTTCCTCTCTCACTCTTTCTTCTCTCTCTTCCCTTCTTCTCTCATCGTGTCTCTTTTTTCTCATTTCTCTCTTCACTCTGCTCCCTTCTATTTCTTTTGTCGATGTACAACTCTTCTTCCCCTCCTCTTCCACCTCTCTCTCCCTCTCTCTCTCTCTCTCTCTCTTCTTGTGTGTCTCACTCTTAACCGGTTGTTATTTCATTTCTGTCCTTGACTGTCTCTTTATATTTTTGATCTCCCTCATTTCTTCCCTTGTTTTATTGTTTTACTCTCTCTCTTGTGTGTCTCTCTATCTTTTCATTCCTCCTTGTCTCACTCTTAACCTGTTTTTACTTCATTTCTGTCCTTGACTGTCTCTTTCTTTATAATTTTGTCTTCCTGTTTGTGTGTGCGCACCTTTGTTTCTCTCGCTCTCCTTCTCTCTGCCTCTTTTATTTCTCCCATCTCCCAGGAGACAAATGTGTTGGGCTTTAAGGGACCTCGAAAGATGTCTGTATTAATTCCCGGAATGAATATTAATCATGAACGGATTCCTTTCCAGCCGCTAAATGTGAGTTTTTCATTTTATCTTGATTTCATTATCCCATGGTAGGGAAATAAACCATAAAATTCCCATTTGGTATGCAATATGATCTGCATTTAGCAGAAGGCACACTACAGCATACAGTGGTGTTGTAGTAACACATTCTAAATGCTTGCTGTATGTGGCAGGAATCAGAAACGCTTCTGTCCAAGTGGCAGAACAAGCACCATGAGAACATCATCGAGCTGCACAACAAGGCTCCCGTGTGGAACGACGACACACAGTCCTATGTGCTAAACTTTCACGGACGCGTCACACATGCTTCAGTCAAGAACTTCCAGATTGTGCATGACAATGACCGTAAGTCCCTTTACATCTTTATAACACCAACCTGGGCTGTAGGACCTTCTTTTTTTTTCTGGCCTTTATATAGTCTTTCCATATCTTCATTTCTTTATTGTTTATCGAGGGATATAGGAATCGGAGACCATTCTGGCAGACATTGTGGTGTACACAATGAAACCTTGAAAAGGTTTGGTTGGATCTTGGACTTTCAAAAGTCAACGTTGGAACTGACTCATTGCTTGGAGTAAGTGGGTCTTATCATGGACACAGCTCAAGCCAGAGTCTTTCTTCCCCAAAATAATCTTCTAAATCTTTGCTTCCAGGCTGAGACTTTACTCTGACACTTTACATTTGCATGAGAGTCCTGGGGCTTATTGTAGTCTCATTTAAGGCAGTCCTATTGGCCCAGTTCCACTTCAGAACACTACAGTTGAACATCTTATCATCAAGTAACAAAATGATTCATTCTCTGAAGAAACCAATTCACCTGACACCAAGCTGTCTCTAGCCTGGTGGCTTGGAGTCTAGTTCTGGAGTTGGGAAATTCCTTCCTTCTGATCTCTTGGAAGATCCTCACAACAAATACCAGCCTGACAGGCTGTGGAGGAGTCCTTAGACACTTTGTCGGTGCAGGGGACTTGAATGCCAGAGTAATCCTGGCTACCAATCAATATTTTGTTAGACCAGGCCACTGTTTTCTTGCTAGCCAGTATGCAAATCCTCCTGTAGATGGCAGTCTAACCCAATGGTCTCTGAATCCTGTGTCCTTCAATAAACTCCCAAAAATATATTTTACAATGAGCATAAAAATCCAATTTTGGTCATTCTTGCACTCAAAACTTTCAGAAAGAGAGACTATGAGGGGAATTTATCAAAACTGGAGCAGTTGTTCAGCGCAACCAATCAGCTTCTCCAGTTTGTTCAGTTAGGATTTGAAAATGAAAGAGAGAAGCTGATTGGTTGCCATGCCCACCTGCTCCAGATTTTGTCTTCCCCAGTTTTGATAAATTCCCTTCCGTGTGTATAGAGGAGTTGATTGGTTGCTGTGAGGAACACGGAAAGTTCTGTCTCTAGTCACACATATGTTTCTTGTCCATCTTTGATTGAACCTCTTTTATCTCACCCCCACAGCGGAGTACATTGTCATGCAGTTTGGACGAGTGGCGGAGGACCTTTTCACACTGGACTACAGCTACCCTCTGTGTGCTTTGCAGGCCTTTGCGGTGGCTCTCTCTAGCTTTGACAGCAAGCTTGCGTGTGAGTGACAGAGAAGCTCCACCACCCCCGTGCCTACTTATTTGCAAAAAAAAAAAATGGCACTTTCCACTTGCCGTCTTAGTCTCTTTCTTGTCTTCTGCAAGTCAGAGCAAGACTGAGCCTCCTTTCTGGGGTTATGCATGTGTCCGTCCTTGCCTGCTAAGTACTGACTTGCGCCTGTAATGCGCAAAAGACTTTGTGCCTTTAATTACACTAAATATGCAACGACAAGGGCGAGTGATCCCACTCTACTGCTTCCTCCTATTTTTTTCCATAATCGTTGCTTTATGTTCAGATGGTATGCTTTGTTTGTGGACTTGTATTTGTTAGGCGGAGTAATCACACACTTCCAAATCAAGCTTTGCAGGAGCATGGAAAGTAGTATGAATTGATCTTAATCAATGGTCCAGCACCAGTGTCTAGTAAATGTGTTTAAGTTATATTTCAATAGGGCTTGTTAAAGAAGGTGCAGCATATATGATCATTTACAGATGCAATAAGCAACAATCATCTTCATCAGAAATAATTGGAGCATTCTCTAAGAGATTCTAAATGGTTCAGAGGAATTTTTAAAGTGTATGTAACCCACATTTACACCAAAGCTCTTTCTCCCCCTTTGCATCAGGGGCAGCTGCTGGGGGCTCAGTTCTTATAGACATATCTCCCAATAGCCCATTCCCTGTGTGTGGGCAGGTTTTTGGGAGTCAAAGCAGCAGCATTATTTTGTTGCATTGCATGATAAATCAATGTACCCTTGTGGAGAAGGGCAGGGAGGGGAGAGCGATAGTTGGAGTTCTGTAGTCCAACAGGCAGTGCTGACACCACTGCTTGGGATTTCAGGACAGCAGAGACACTGTGTTGTCAGCTCAAATAGGAAGTTGGGAGCTCACTGGATTTTTCTGAGAAGTCAACAGGCATTTTTCTGTACTTGCAACATGCAGGTATTGGAGAGATGCTCTAAATATATATATTTTTGAATTCTTCGGCGTCCTCGCGTCCAATCAAGTCAATGGACCTGCACGAGACGTGATGACATCAGCGGTCATAAAATTGCCGGAGAAGAGGCTGCTGGGACCGAGGATCAGGTGAGTATATCTGCTTTATTTGAGCCCCCCTAGACAAAATCAGCACTTAACCCTTGCAGTGCATGGGGTAGCCCCAAATGGAAGGTTATGTTTTTCTTCTATAATGTACAGGTCACATGTAGTGCGGGTCTACGTGGGAGCTCAGGGTAGCCATCAGCAGTGTAGTGATGGTCTCCCTCAGTCTTGGGATCAGACAGAAGGGCGGGTCGGTGACACGGCATCAGCAGACTTGCAGCCTCTACCATATGTGATGCAGCCGTATCGCACAGCAGGGATGTGGGGATTACTAGATGTCCATTCCTTTACAGATCCTTGACAAGCAGAACAGTTCCTGGGTATCTAGCTGGAGAATCCCTTTAATCTAACATTACCCAAACTATCTTTCCTAACTTTATACCAAAGAGAAAAGTCTTCTAATCTCCCCTGATCTGAGGTTCTATGTTTCCGCTTTGATAGAAATGTCAGTCCAAATACAATCATTTTTGCTGCTTATGCTGAATCAGTGTCAGCTCATCTTGCAGGTGTTCTATCGAAAGCTCCAACTCGTCGAAATCTCCAACTGCCTCGCTGCCGGGTACTTGCAAGTTGGAGCGTTAAGGTGCCCATACACTGCTCGATTCTCGTACGAGAATCACGGGAAATCCCGCGATCGTACGAGAATCGAACAGTGTGAACGAAGACGTGCGACCGTTTCTACTGTACGGTCGCACGTCTTTTGTCTAAGGAGCATGTTAGAAAACCAGCCGAGAATCGTACGATTTTCGGCTGGTTAGAACGGTGCTCGGGAGACAAATGCCGAAGGGGCCGGTGTGCGCACGCGCACACTGCCCGTTCAGCATTGCGGTCATCGGAAAGCCCGCCGCTCAGGGGGGCGGACATGCGATGATCGAGAGTGCGATCTGCCTGTCCAAGATGGGCAGATCGTACGTTTTTTTTATCACTTTACAATCATAGCAAGACTAAGGCCTTGCGATGGTTGTACAGTGTATGGCCACCGTTAGACTGCAAAACACAAAGACTGACGGAGCTCTGTACAGCTGCATTTTAACAATATTCAGCAGGTGGCAAACTCGACCGAGTATTCTAAAAAAAAATACTATGCGCGCATGCGCACGGCAACTGTGCAAAGCTTCAAGTCCGGAAGTGAGGTAGTTGGAGATCTCGATGAGTTGGAGCTTTCGATAGAACACCGGCTCTCAGATTCTCTCTGCTGAAGTTCCAAGCTCCGCCCACTTGCCACCGCCACTTCGCGGGGCCTCTTGCTTCCCCTGTTGTATTATGCAATAGGGCACGGGTAACCAAACTGCAGCCCCTCAGCTGTTGTGGAACTGCAAGTCCCATGAGGCATTGCAAGGCTCTGACAGCCACAGTCATGATACCCGGAGACAGATGCATGATGGGATTTGAAGTTTGATCACAGCTGGAGGGCTAAAGTTTGGCTACCCCTGCTTTGGAGAATGCCGGAGGAGGTGTGAGACTTCAGTGTGGGGGGGTAAGCAAAGCTGGGCACTACAGCGGTGAGATCTTGCCACTGGTATGTCCCAGAGTGCTTGGGGCGCCATTGAACCCACAGCACTCCACGCAGAACTGAAGTACCTCTTTGGCACGGCCTAGCTTTTACAATGAATCATCTCGAGCTGCTGAAAAGGGAAAATGTTTTGTAATATTGTGTCTCTGTCCTGAGCACTTTAATCATGGAGCTGTTGTGTATCGTATGCCATTCATTTTTATATTGTGTACTTTGTATTTTGACAATAAATGTATCGTGTTGGAGCTCCGAGAGCGGCGTCTGTGACTTTTGTACATAAGATAATAATAATGTGCTTCTCCGTTGCTGGTCCGTGTGGTGCCAGGAGCTGAAGGTAATACTTGGTACTTCCAGGTATGAAGGAACATGTGACCCTGCCATGTGACCACACTGGACCAATGAGCAGTGGCACAGGAGGGCCTTGCTTTCGCCAAGAGTGGCAGGGTAGGGATATAGGGGTATAGCTGTCTAAACTTCAGGAAAAAAGCTCAGTACACAGATAAAAGACACGTGTGGAGTTGTTTCATCTGCCATATGATTTGTATTCCACTCTATCCAGTCCTGAGATTTACACAGCTCTGTTACACAGCTGTGCCTGGCAGGGAAGGAGACCTGACCATTCTCTGCTGCAGTCCATAAACACTGACAGGTCTTGTCCCTCCCCCCACCCTGTGACTGTACAGTGAAGTAGAAGCTTCAGACTAATAAGCTCCTTTTATACTCTGCTCTTTCCTGCTATCAGCATGCCATGTATGAACTATTTTGTTCATTGGGCTGCTTCTCTCTCCCTCTCTATGAGCTGTGCTGTAGAGGATATCCAGAGGCTGATGACGGGTCAAAATCAGATACTTGCACTGCTTGAATAAAAAAAAAATAAACAAATACATTTAAAGCTGTTTTAACTACATCCTGGCCGGCCTGTGTAAAAAAAATGGCCGGCCGGGAGCTCTCTGGATCCGAGCGGACGATTTTAAACGCGCTCGAGCGGGAAAGTGCCCAAATTTAAAAACAGACAGCGATGCGTGTTAACATAGAAGCGATCCGCCAGCTATAGAGCTCTGTCTCCATAAAGAGGACCTGTCACATCTCTTTGCTATCACATTGGGGGGTTTCTTATCCCCCCTATGTGATAACAATGAAGTTAAGTGGTAAAAAAAAAAAAGAAAGTTGCAAAAAATATATATTTAAGGTCACACATGAAAAATAATTTAAAAAAAAAAACATTTTTTTAAAGTCCCCACGCATACATACATGCATGCAAACATGCGTCGGGTGCGCAGACATGCGAAAACAACTATTGCGCCCATTATGCCGCACGTTTTACATATCGCCGCGGACGTCGCAGTGAGGGCAATAATTGTAGGACCATCAATCACTGATAACACTAAACTGATGAGCGGCAAAAGCTTTTAAAGCGTCGATTGTTCCCCTCCTTAGGTTGGTGTCCCCCTTTCTGTTCCCCTCCTCAGGTTGGTGTCCCACTGTCTGTTCCCCTCCTCAGGTTGGTGTCTGTTCCCCTCCTCAGGTTGGTGTCCCAGTGTCTGTTCCCCTCCTCAGGTTGGTGTCTGTTCCCCTCCTCAGGTTGGTGTCCCTGTGTCTGTTCCCCTCCGTGTCCCGATGTCTGTTCCCCTCCTCAGGTTGGTGTCCCGGTGTCTGTTCCCCTCCTCAGGTTGGTGTCCCCGTGTCTGTTCCCCTCCTCAGGTTGGTGTCCCGGTGTCTGTTCCCCTCCTCAGGTTGGTGTCTCTGTCCTGTGCCCTCCCTTCCTGGGTCGCAATCCCGGTGTCTGTCCTCCCTCCCTGGGCCGATGTCCCGGTGTCTGTCCTCCCTCCCTGGGCCGATGTCCCGGTATCTGTCCTCCCTCCCTGGGCCGATGTCCTGGTGTCTGTCCTCCCTCCCTGGGTCGATGTCCCGGTGTCTGTCCTCCCTCCCTGGGTCGATGTCCCGGTGTCTGTCCTCCCTCCCCGGGTTGATGTTCTGGTTTCTGTCCTCCCTCCCTGGGTCATTGTCTTGGGTCTGTCTCCCCCGCTAGGTTGGTTTTGCGGTGCCTGTCACCCTCCATGGGTCTTGTTGTCTGCATTGCCCCCCCCCAATTGGGTTGATGTCCTGGCATTTACCCCATTGGATTTATGACCTGTTGTCGCCCCCCTCCCTTGAGTCAATGTCCCGGTGCCTGCCCCCCTCGCTGGAGGATTGTTCTCTTCCTGTCTGTCATGCCGGCTTCCCCTAACTTTGTACCCATTTACATGCCACTCTCTGCCAGGTCCCTGTCTTTCTCACCCTGGTCCTGATCCTTCTCTCTCAGGTTGTCCCCAGAATCTGTACCTCTACCCTGGTCCCTCTCTCTCAGGTCCTTGTCCCCTTCTCCATACCTCTACCCTGTTCCCTCTTTCCCTTTCTCTCAGGTCCTCGTCCCCGGTGTCTCTACCCTAACCCCGGTCTCCCTCTGTGCCAGGTCCCCGTTCTCCCTCTCAGGTCCTTGTCCCGGTCTCTGTACTTCTCCCCCGGTCCCTCTGACTCCGTTCTCCCTCTGTCCCAGGTCCCTGTCCCAGGTCCCTGTCCCCGCTGTATTCGGTCCCATCTCTGTGCCGGTCCACCTTAATCGGGAGGCTCCGGGCCGCAGCCAATCACCGGCAGGGGGCGTTTAAATCCCCCTCCGGGCGCCATATTGGCCAGACGGTGCCCTGCAGTGGGAGGAGGCGGGGCCCGACACGCCCGAATTTTACCGCCGCCCGGTGCACCGCAAACCGACCAAGAAGAGAAGCGGCCCGCACACGGGTGAGAAGGAGCTAACACCTGAATAGTAGAACACCCTACAGGGGGCGGGGAGCCACAGCATATGGTGACTGTCATCTACAGTCTGCTGTCAGTGGACCCCACATGACCATAGCTGCTAACTGTGACTGCACTCTACAGACCACTCACTATATGGGGACCGCACTCTACAGACCGCTCACTATATGGGGACCGCGCTCTACAGACCGCTCACTATACGGGGACCGCGCTCTACAGACCGCTCAGTGTATGGGGACCGCGCTCTACAGACCGCTCAGTGTATGGGGACCGCGCTCTACAGACCGCTCAGTGTACGGGGACCGCACTCTACAGACCGCTCAGTGTACGGGGACCGCACTCTACAGACCGCTCAGTGTATGGGGACTGCATTCTACAGATCGCTTACTATATGGGGACCGCACTCTACAGACCGCTCAGTGTACGGGGACCGCACTGTACAGACCACTCTGTATACGGGGACCGCACTCTACAGACCACTCTGTATATGGGGACCGCACTCTACAGACCACTCTGTGTATGGGGACCGCACTCTACAGACCACTCTGTGTATGGGGACCGCACTCTACAGACCACTCTGTGTATGGGGACCGCACTCTACAGACCACTCTGTGTACGGGGACCGCACTCTACAGACCACTCTGTGTATGGGGACCGCACTCTACAGACCACTCTGTGTATGGGGACCGCACTCTACAGACCACTC